TGCGGGGCGGTGCTCCCCGTGCAGCACGTGACGCCCGTCGCCGCAGCAGCTCCCCATCAAACCCCCAACACCCGAGCACCCCAACACCCACCGCTTTCCCGTGAAGGCTCCCGCCGCGCCTGAGGGTGCAGGGCGGGAGGAAACACCGGTGCTGGAGGCAACTCCTCTCCACCTCCTTCGCTTAATTTTCTGAAATCACCACAGCACGGACACACACCGATGACCAAGGATCCTTTACTCGTCCTTTCGAGGGGTGCACAGGGGTTTGGCCCCGTTACCCACCCAGACGCTCAGTAACAACACGCCGGCAGTGGAAGAGATGCACAGGTTATCACTGACACCGCTATTCCAAAGCACAGGACACCAGAGCCTTGTACTCCCTCTCCACCACCAGGCAGAAAAGCTGGGTGTTGCCTCTGGCTACACATGTCATTAGACTGCTACAGTACATTATTGTATCTGAACTATTAAAAGGCATGTTATTAATTATAAATATAAAAAGCAATTACAGAGGGATTGCTTAGAATGATTTATAACCCAACACCTGAAGCCAAGATCAAAAAGACTCCCTGCACAGAAGTTTTAAACACCCAAGTGCTAGCCTTCATTTGCACCACACCAAAAAGCTCACCTGAAACTGTGGCTATAGATAGATAAAGGGAGGAAAATATCAAGCACAGAGCAACATGAGACCATCATCACTCAGGATATAAAGGGGAGGATGTAGTCTAAGAACCGGGCCTTTTAGTCAGGTAGAACTTGCTGGTTTTACTTCTCGGGTTTATCTGAGATCTACTTTCCCCCTCTTTACAACACATACAAAAAACTCCTTCAGAATTTCTAGAACTTAATTTTCAACTAGAAAATTAAGACAGTCTGACAGCGCTGGTTTTGAACGTGAGCCAGTAAAAGTGTTCCTGTGCTGCAAAACGATCTCCCCTTGCAACTGCAATAATGAAGATTCAATATGCTGCAATCGTTATTTTATTTTCCTCCTAACTGACTACGGGTACCGCAGCTTAGGGTTTTCTTCCCTTTTTGCGCAGGGATTGGCCTTCTCCTGAAAAGGCAATAAACCGGCTTCCAGATTCATCCTAGAAAAAGGAAAGAGGGGAGAAACAGTTGTGACATCTTTGCTCTCTGCTTGTGTGATGAAAGCCGAGTTATCATTAGGAAGAACATTCCGTCGGAGCAGTGACTGTGGGCATTTCACATCCTTAATCTACATTATAACCACTTTCTTCCTCAAAATAAAATATGAGCATTTCAGGGACCTTTCAGCCAACTGAAGCAACTATGCACCAGCTTATTAAACTCACACCAGGCCAATCTCTTTACATTAGCAATCAAGGACACAGGAGGTTGTTGTCACCGAACTCGAACTACTTCTGAACTACTACCACGTTTTACAGAAGCATGCTGTGAAAAATCAAACATGGAGAAAGGAACCACAAACTTGGACAGTAGTTCTGATGTCCTAATTCTGTGCAAAACTGGGAAGGCTCCAACTTTACCTCTTCGATTTTCTTAACTAGTGGACGTGAGTTTCTAATGAACGTGATTCTACCGATCTTGAAGTCATAGTTGGGTATTCCTCTGGAAAAGAAGCATACAATTATGAAAGAAGAAATGTTGTATCTGCCATCCAACTGAACACAGTGAGACCTATTCCCTGTCCATCATTGTACCAACACTGGCTGAAAGTTTTCATTACCAAGTAATTCTAGAGTTAAACCCCTGAATTATTTGCTGAATACAGGCATATGTTGCATGAAGCAAATAACCAGACACTGCTGTACAAGCTTGGCTGTGGGTATGTTTCCACATAGCCTCTGGTTTCCACAGGGCCATGGACACAATTTTCCACATGGGTTCAAGTTTTATTCTGACAGGTGTAAATCACAGACCACCACAAGAACCACATCCCTGCACACTTCCACCAAGTCTGAATTTAGAAGTTTCCTTCTAAGAAACATCCCCCCCCCAGCAAAAGAAACCAAACTAAAAAGAACAAACAAAAAACCAAAACCAAACTCACAAATGGTTTGGCTTTGGTTATCCACCCAACTCAAAAAAAGTCTTCACTTGACATGAAATTTCACTTTAGAAAACCGGCAGGGTTCTGTGCATCACTTGGTCCAGCCCACCAGCCCACACTACATCTGCTGCCTCTGCCCGCTTGCCTTCTATAGAACCAGAGTTGACTGAGTTTTGGCAACACTAACTTAGGAGCTGCACCTTAAGTGGTCCAGGACGTCACAGTCAGTCTAGATTAGAACATTCATATTCTAAATCCTTCTTATGAGGAAGTTAGCTTGTTTATATCGATGTAGCAGAAAATTAAAATCTGCTCAGACACTGATCCTTCACTTGCTGACAGCCAAATGGAACAGTTATACCTTCGAATGTCTCCTGGTTTAATTGGCGATGGACTAGGCTCAACACCTTTCTTCTTGCCATCCAGTCTGTTCCCAGAACCAGAGAATGCCTGTGTATACATAGCGAGTTTTAGTTTAACAATTAGAGAGCAGTGTAGGGGAAAGGGACCTGGGGGTCCTGGTGGACAGCAGGATGACCATGAGCCAGCACTGTGCCCTTGTGGCCAAGAAGGCCAATGCCATCCTGGGGTGTATCAGGAGGGGGGTGGTTGTAGGGCAGAGAGGTTCTCCTCCCCCTCTACTCTGCCCTGATGAGACCACATCTGGAATATTGTGTCCAGTTCTGGGCCCCTCAGTTCAAGAAGGACAGGAACTGCTGGAGAGAGTCCAGCGTAGGGCTACAAAGATGATGGAGGGAGTGGAGCATCTCCCTTATGTGCAAAGGCTGAGGGAGCTGGGTCTCTTTAGTTTGCAGAAGAGGAGACTGAGGGGAGACCTCATTCATGTTTATAAATATTTAAAGGGTGAGTGTCACGAGGATGGAGCCAGGCTCTTCTCGGTGACAAACAATGACAGGACAAGGGGTAACGGACACAAACTGGAACACAGGAGGTTCCACTTCAATTTGAGAAGAAACTTCTTCTCAGTGAGGGTGACAGAGCCCTGGCCCAGGCTGCCCAGAGAGGTTGTGGAGTCTCCTTCTCTGCAGACATTCAAAACCCGCCTGGACGCCTTCCTATGTAACCTCATCTGGGTGTTCCTGCTCCGGCAGGGGGATTGGACTGGATGAGCTTTTGAGGTCCCTTCCAATCCCTAACGGTCTGGGATTCTGTGAACTGTATTTTGCATTTGACAGCGCACTGCACAGGGACAGTTTATTCTGTAAAATCTTACTATCATTTGTTTAATTCTTTGATTAAGCATGTTCATTTTTAGTGCCTACAATAAGCTGATGAGCACTGGGTGTACGTATGTTACAGTCTCCTACAGACTGCCCTGTAAGGGCAGCAAGTCATACTGCTACTGCCTGTAAGCGCCACAAAACATTTGCAGATACTTGCCCGTTAAATGACAAGCACCTCTAAGAACCGGTACTGGTGTTCTGCAGTTGTTAAAAACAACTTTCCCTCACCATCTACAGCACTCAGAAAAGAGCAGAAACAGGGAACTTACGCGAAATCCTATGTCACTCACATATCCACTGTGGTCTGCTTCAACATCCTGTGAGGGGAAAAACTGGTTACTCCGTTGTGTTCAAGCTGTGATAACGTGGCACACAGGAAAACAGCTCCTCCTATTTCTGACCAAACAAAACTTCAGAGTAATCAATTTCTGAAATCAACAGTTGGTAAACAACCATCTCCTAAGTAACACAAGCAAAAGCATCTGTAAGTAAAGTTTTGTCTTACAAAATTGTTTCAGGAAACAAATTACTTTGGAAGCTCACAGCTCCACTGCAAGCAAGGCTGATTCCTAGAGAATGCATTTTTGAAAAACAAAAGCTTAACTTACTGTGGTCTCTTCATGTTGTGCACTTCTTTCTGGTTCTTTGTACCCCAAAGGAGCATCAAAATCCACCTATTCACATAAGCAGCAGGAAAATAAGCATGATTCATATTTTTCTTTTAATCATAAGCTTTATAGTACTATTCCTCAAGACTCCACAAACTATCGCTCCATTCTGATCACGAAAAGAACTGAGGTTTGTTTGCTTGTTAAACATTTTTAACTCAGAAGTAAAAAGACTAAGGCTCCTAGGAATGAGTCTTAGCATGTAATTGAAAAAGAGCAGTAAAACGGCATCCCACAATGTCACTGGAGTATGAGTCAAGACAAGGCTGTTAAATAAAACTCAGCCTCATTACAAAAACATTGAATCTAAACATTAAATTCTAGGCACTACAGCCACCTGATGGTACAGGAAATGCAGCTCACAACTACAGATACGGTTACAAAGGTACATAGGGTACTCTCAAATGAGTCATCTTCCTCATCCCATCTGATTTTACCTCCTCTGCAGCACCAGAGCTGCTTGGTGTACAGTGCTGTCACTAAACAGTTGGTTGACAGTCGGCTTCACATGAGCCAGCACTGTGCCCACGTGGCCAGAAAAGCCAAGGGCATCTTGGCCTGTATTAAAAACAGTGTGACCAGCAGGGCCAGGGAGGTGATCATCCCCCTGTACTCGGCACTGGGGAGGCCGCACCTCGAGTGCTGTGTTCAGTTCTGGGCCCCTCACTAGAAGAAGGATGTTGAGATTCTGGAGCGTGTTCAGAGAAGAGCCACAAGGATGGGGAGGGCTCTGGAGAACAAGCCTGATGAGGAGCGGCTGAGGGAACTGGGCTTGTTTAGCCTGGAGAAGAGAAGGCTGAGGGGAGACCTCATCACCACCTACAACTGCCTCAAGGGAGCTTGTAGAGAGGTGGATGCTGGTCTCTTCTCCCAGGTGATGGGGGATAGAACAAGGGGAAACGGCACCAAGCTGTGCCAAGGGAGGTTCAGGTTAGAGAGAAGGAGAAAGTTCTTTACTGAGAGGGTCGTCAGAAGCTGGAACAGGCTGCCCAGGGAGGTGGTGGAGTCACCATCCCTGGATGTGTTTAAAGAGCGGGTAGACGAGGTACTTAAGGATATGGTTTAGTGGGTAGACAGGAACGGTTGGACATGGTGATCTCAGAGGGCTTTTCCAACCGAGCGATTCTGTGATTCTGTGAAACGAGATGCCCGCTCCTTTTGGGAAGACACAGTAAAAGCAGACTTTCCATGTCAGCTTCAACTTACATTCATGTCACATTCTATGATGGACACAGCCTTATCCGGTTTGGTCTCCATTACCCGAAGCTCATAGATCTGAAATAGTAATGAATATTTTAAGACTGCAAAGGAAAGAGCTCACCTCGTGTACAAGAAAAGCAGAGCAAAACCTTTCCCTTCAGAAAGCTTCAAGAAAACTTTAAAATAAAGTGCTCCTTAGGTTGAGAACTGGATATTGCAGGGTCTCTACAGAACATGAGTGAAGATTTTTAACCTAGATAGAACATTGCTGTATGCTGGAGCTACAGAACCTACCTTTTACTGTACTTTGCTGAGCTCTTACTGTACCTTAATCTGCATTTTGGAAAGCAAATTATGAATAGGATAAAATGAAAAAGAACTTATATCAGCAGCATAAAAATGTATTTTCTCCTAAGTCAAAAACCAGTCTAAACAGTAGCTCAGGAGAAGACTTAACTGACCCCTTTTCTCCAATAGAAAACTGACTGTGAAATACACTACCTGGAGTTGTCAACAGTACTGCATAGCTCTGTGTTGACGGTTTCAGCACCAACATCCAACAACTGAGCTCAGTCTACAACCCCAAGTGATCGAATGCGCACATGTTGCCAAAAATACTTAGCTATAAAATCTATTCATAAGGTGCAGTCAAAGTAGGCCCAGTCTACTGAAATACACTGAACTTTTTTTTACACGAGGCAGAATTTATTTCCTCAAATTAATGGTTTCCAAACAAAAGCTGCATGGACTGGTGGTGTATACTGTACCTTTTCATTGTAGTTGATGGCAATAACATCCCCAGTAGTCAGACAAGCAAAGTTTCTCAATGCATTTTCTAATCTTTGGAGTACGTTAAGATAAAACATTTGTTTCCAATGCAACATCAAAGCTTTAACATTACTATAACTCTGATTCTTGGTCTGGCAAAGGTGGTTTGAAAGTCCTCAGTACTGTATACAGCCTTTTAGTAAACATTACGGCATGCAAGTTCTTCCAAAGGACATTCAAACTCATTGGACTTTAAGCCAAGATTCATGCTGCTTCACTCCAGGCTACACTTCATGTCAGCAGTTCGTAACAACTTTGTACATAAGCTCTCCATCCTTTTTCTTTTCAGGAGGAACAGCAGTAACCTACAACTGGAAGAGTATGAGCCGCACCTGAAAAGCCAGCTCTGATTCATCGTTCCAATTCGGGAGAAAACTTTTGTCCCCTACTGCATAATTGACAGGAAGGATACACAGCTTTGGGATTGGTGATGTCAAGAAAATCAGGACTCTGTGGCTGAAATTTTGAGTAAGTAGCAACTTGAAGATTAACACTCTCCACTTGCACCAGGCCTCCCTCCTCCAGCAGCAGGTTCTGCATCATCTGCAAGCATGAAAATAAAAATTCAAACCACTAGCAACAAGATTGATGTTTCTAATTCTCTTCCCTTGTGTATACAGACTTTCTGTCCATCATCTTCCCCGAAATGCACCAGTTTAGCACATTTTAATTTCAGGAAAAAGAGACAGGTGTATCTCGAACAGCAGTCTGCTTTGTTTACTTAAAACTCTCATGGAGGGAAACCTGAGCTGTGACTGAAAGCTGCTGTAGGAACACGACTAGCAAAGACATTTCAGGAAACATTCTACCTCTTCAATATTAAATGGGCAACTCCATAATCCTACTCTTCAGGTTTTGACAGCTCAGCATGAGACAACTCACCCAGTGTGGCAGGTAGCATATGCCCTCATCGGCCACAAATTCAAGCACCCCACAGTGCGTCATTCGGTCTGAATTTTTATTGGTCAGCTTAAACAGCATCGGGTAAGTAATATTAAGTCGGCCTGGTAAGAAAGGAGAAAAAAAATTGAGTTGCTAAAAGCCACCAGCATATTTCTGAAGCTTTCAGAGATCGAATGTTATCCAGGGAATGGGCCAGGCTGTAGGAGAGGATTCTCCTCACCAGTATTTCAACTCCTCAAAACTGCAAATCCAGGAGAGAATGCAGACACACAAATACCGTACTGCCACTGCACTTCGGGCTTTAAACGCCTCTCCCAACACTTCCCCAAGCTCAGAGATGAGCAGGCAACAGGTATCAGCAGAGGAATCTATTATTATTATGACCTTGCGCTATTATCAGTTAGCTTCTACCTAACGAATTTCAGCATACCCTACCTATTTTAGAATTAAATCCTGACTTAACTGATTTCTCAAAGAAATTCTATTAAGGCTAAAACTCAGAGAGGGGGAAAAAACCCTCAGTTAAAAAGGCCAATAAACACCATTTATACTACAGATTCAGTTGTCTTTTTCCTCATTTCAAAGTTAGTTATCACTTCTTTTGTCTTTAAATTAAATTTTGCTCCTGACAACAGAGCTCAGAACAAGCAGGTTGAGACTAAGAACTTACTAGATTAACTGTGACCATTATACTGAGCATACTATTAATAGTTAATAACTACTGAATCATGCCTCATGTAGCTCAACACATCAGATGACTGTACTTAAAGACAGACAAGCCCCATTAATTTTGACAGATAAAATATTCCCAGGACACATTTTTTGAACTAATTAGCCTCATATTCTCTATTTAAGTCAGATTTTAATAGACGACTAAAATAACGTAGTATTTGCTTACACATCTATTCATATTTCTAATGTTGTTATTCCAGAGTAAAATATTCACTTACTGAGTTGATCCAAAGCCGACGGTGGCATAATTACTGCAGAAATGAGTAAGAATGTAAGATTAGGAAATGTATGACTGTACAAAGAGAACATAACATACAATTTTATCATTCCTTTCTCTAAAATCTCCTCTAGAAAGAGGAACATGACAAGGTTTTACAATACCTAGTACGACAGAAAATGTTTCCCAAAGGTAACTTTATCTTTCGGGGCTTAGAGGTGCTCTTAAATCAATGCCAACTCAAAACAACATAGCATTGGTTGGGCAGCTTAAAAATTAAGTTGGCCAATCTATTCTCTTTGTTCAAGCTAAATGAGTTACAACAAGGAGCGGGGGGGGAAAGTCCTTAATCATAAATTTCTACAGCTTATAATCGATCCAAGATTTTAACAACAGACTTTAAAAAGAGCGTCTTCTCCTAAAGCTCATAAACACAGACTCACTGGGTAAGTTTCTTTAATTACAGAGCAATGTGATGACAGATGAACCCTCCTCCTTCTTCCTTAAAGCCCCACCCAGGGTGCTCTTCTAGCTCCATCCACAAAGCCAACACTGTGTCCCCATGCCGTTCAGCAATGTTTCTGCAGTCTTGGCCAAAAGCTGCACTACTGGATAGTATTCACAAACACTCTTCCAACAGGTTATTAGTCAAAATAAAACATGCACATACTCTTCCCGCCTTTCTCCACATCTGACCTGTCATTAGGTCCAGCAAGCATGGAGACTGAGAAGCAGCGGTATTGGGTTGAGAAGCGGTTCTGGAAGACCCGAGGGATGGGGTGATCAAACATATTAAACGAGAACTAGATGGAGGAAAAAAAAAACCAAACACAAAGAGAAGAACGTATTAACAGGCACCGCAGCACACCGAAGGGTCACCGCGCTCACGCAAGTCTCCCAAGTTTAGCTACAACTACGTTTAGAAGCCGCGCGGTTGATTTCCCTGTCAGCTGAGGCGCCCCTCTTTTCTTCCTGGCACTTAGGCGCTGTTTGGGGAAAGATTTGTGCGCCAAGAGCTGCGCGGGATGGACGGAAAATGGAAGGTTAAAGGACGGCTGGGCTGCCCGGGATGCGCTCCGAGGGGGAGACGCCGACACTCGCCGGCCGCTGACGGCCGCCTGCCCTCAGCCTGGCACTCCACACCAACGCCGCAGGGAGGCTCCGTGAGCGGGCACCGGGGGAGCCACCGCAGG